TGTTTTTTCCCTTTTGTTCTGATTTTTCTTTTACAACATGACCAATGTGGAAATATATTGAATATGTTTAGCCTATATCATGTATATGTGATATGTATAGCCTCTATCAGATTGCTTGCCATCGTGGGGAGAGAGGAGGGGAGAGAGGGAGGGAGAAAAGATTTGGAACTCAAAATCTTATAAAAAATGAATGTTGAAAACTATCTTTAAGTGCAATTGGAAAAAAATAAAATACTATTAAGTGGGGAAAATTTTTAATTAAAAAAAAGGACTAGTTGGTGTGACCTCTTGCTGAATCCTTTTCAGGTCTGAAATCCGCTGAATCCACCTGGCACTCAACTCTCACCTGTGCCTCCATGAAGCTGTAGCATGAGCAGTGGGCACACCTCAGGAAAACTGTCTCAACAGATGGCTAAACCAGGATGAGGATAACCCACGGTCTCAAACCCAAGGGTGAGTTAGGGGATGTCTACCCCAAGCATGTGAAGACTTTTCCAGGTGGAGTGGGTGGATGAGAAACAATTTTTTCCAATGGCCATGAAAGTAGCTGAAGTAGGTGCTGTGAAGCATTAGAGTTTGGTCAGACATCAAAGATGCAAAGGTCACCCACTGCATCCTGGGCCATTGCCAGTCATCTTGACTTTTATCTTACCATTGGACTTGGATGACTCAGAAAGGGAATCTGAGGCTAATGATTTTGTTCAATTCTGCCTCTATGCATCATCCTGTGATGTCATTGGTCCTCTTCTAAAATGAAGGACAAACAACAGTAAGTACTTACGTGTGGTAGGCCCTGTGCTAAGTACTGGTGATACAAAGAAAGATAAAAATAGACTGTCCTTAAGAAACACACAGTAATGGGGAAGACAACATGTAAGTAACTGGGTATGTACAAAGAATATACTATAGAATAAATGGAAGATAATCTCAGAGGGGAAGGCCTAGTAGATGGAAGATGGGAAAGACCACTTTGAAGAAGGTGAAATTGGAGCTGATTATAGGAGTCTAGGAAATCAAGAGGCAGAGATGAGGATGGAGAACATTCCAGGCACTGGGGACATCCAATGCAAAGGCACAGTGATAGAGTGTTGTGTTTAAGAACCAGCAAGTAGGACAGTGTTGTTTGATTATAGAGTACAGAGAGGACAGCAAAGTATAAGAAGACTGGAAGAGTAGGTAGGGGCCAGGTTGTGGAGTTTAAAAGGCAAGGAGAGAATAGGAGTTTATTAGCACAGCAGCGAGTCAATTTGCTGTGCTGAGTGCATTCATGAAATGACAGAAGTACCAGAAGAAGGTCTCCAAAAGACTGGGCAGATTCTCTAGAGGACTTATGAGAAGACATAGACAACAGTCACATAGGATATCAAGACATATGTGGGTTATGATTTGTAACACTGGAGGGGATACCAGCCTGATGAGATAGGGCATTTATTGAAAGCATGAATTTATTTCTAATTAAGTCCAGTCAATTATTGTTCTAGAGGCAGCTGAGTGATGCAGTGGACAGAGTGCTGGGCCTGGAATCAGTTCAAATCTGGTTTCAGACACTTACTAGCTATGTGATCCTGGGCAAGTCACTCAATCTCTGTCTGCCTCAGTTTCCTCAGCTGTAAAATTCAGATAATTTAATAGCCTTACTTCCCAGGGTTGTTACGAGCTCAGTTTCCTCAGTCATAAAATGGGGATGGTTTTATACACTGACTTCCTAGAGTTGTAAAGCACTTAGCATGGTGCCTGGCACAGAGTCACTGCTTACTAAGTACTTGTCCTCTTCCATTGTCCCGTTTTAGTCGAGTACCAATTCTTCAGGAGAACAATTGGCATTGGTGACCAAAATAAACCCCAAATTAGTTAACATAATGAATGGCATTCAGTGTGACTCAAGAGATGGACAATAAGCTGGAAATTCAAGGCTGGGAACCTTTTTTCCTGCTCTACCACTACCGTGCAGTCTGACTCATGGCCAAGTAAGTCTTTTGTGCTTCTCAATTTCCTCAGCTATACAATTCCAACCCACCTCCCAGGATTGTTACAAATAAGCCCAGACAAAATGGAGCATAGATAGAATGCCTGCTTATGATATGCAGTTAAACGGGCAGTTTTGTTTGCAAAAACAAAGCAAAACAAAAAACCCCAAGATGAACAAATTCAAAATAATGCTTCTGTAGCGTAAAGGAAAGATCTCAGATCCTCAGTTAGTCAGATGTCATTAGCTCAAAAAAGAGAGCTTGTCAAAAGCAGTGTTGATTTGACCCGAAACCAATCTACCCTAACAACCAAGGCATCATATTATAATACAGTAACTTAAACCCTAAATTCCAGGGTCTTCTTCCTCAAGAATAAGGGGTGTTATCAGTGACAATTATCAATGAAGGGATAAAAAGAAACGTGAAGCCAGCTAGACAAGAGGCCTACAAAGAGCAGTAGATTTTTATCAGAGTCCTGCTCACTCTGCTTTCTCCAGGTTGATTACAATATCAATGAAAGGAAACATCCCTGGAGCAGAGATAGAAAGCTAAAGAAAAGGAAGATTTTAACCAGTATGTAGAAATAAGCCTGGAGACAGATGACATCAATCATGTCAACAGGCAAACCCATTTACTATCAAGTTGCAGCAGTGAATGAACAAAGCAATCATCATGAAATAATACATTTTTTTAAAAAATCTGTTCTTGCGATTAAATTGGTATACACCAACAGTTCTCAACATGTGGTTCACACGTCCCCCGCAGTTCCCAAGACCCTTTCGGGTGGTCTGTGAGGTCAAAACTATATTAAGACATTTACCTTATTAATATACTCCTCTTTCTCCCAACTACATATCTGTATGAGGCCAGATTTTCTTCAAATACTTCAACCAAAACAATATTTCACAACAGATCGAATACAGAAGCAAATATGAAAAATCCTGTTATCTTTTATTAAGCATAACAGATATTAAAGAGATTTGCAAAAATATGTAAAATAATGCTACTCTTCTCACTAATTATTTTTGTTTTGGAAAATAGTCTTTAATTTAAAATACTATTCATAGTAACATGAAATAGGTTTGTTATCTTTAATATTTCAAAAATTTATCACTTTTAATTTCTAGTACACCAAATATGGATAGATATGCCCATATAAACAGGAGCTCCTGAGAATGAGTCCTCGATAATTTTTAAGAATGAAGAGGGGTCCTGAGTTCTAGAAATTCTGGTATAGACCAAACTTTGAATGGTTCGGCACCATATGGTCTTCAAGGATTGCCTGGAAAACTAAGAAATTAAGTGATCACACCAAAAAGTACTTATTGTTTTGTAGTTGCCTTGTATACATCTATGCATTTGTGTTACGTTTTGTCTCTCTTTCCCCCATCAGAATGTAAATTCCTTGAAGGCAAGGACTATTTTGCTTTTTCCTTTGTATTGCTTTGAATCTCAAGCAGGTTCATGAGGAGTAGGGTTTTTTGAGGGGAGGGGAGAAGCAAGAAGTCTCTATTGCTTAAAATGTATTTAGTAGGAGACCATATTTCCTTAGAGAATTAAAGATAGAAGTCTTTCAAATGTAAATACCCAGCAGAGGTAATACACTGGCGTGAGTGAATTTCAGTCAAAGCATGAAGAATGATAGCTTATTCTTCCAAAAGCTGTTTTGATGTAGTTGGAGGCTTGGAGGGCAGGAAGGTACTGGAGGAATGAATGCTACCACATAAAAATAAGGTCTAGTGGAAAAATTGGGAGGACCCCTTTACTTGTCTTGGACGGGTCTTGTTTGTTCATAGCTGTTTGCATGTTGTCTGTTCCCTTAGACTGCATCTCCTCCAGGGCAGGGATTATCGTTTACCTTTCTTTGTATCTCCAGCACTTCGTGCATTGCCAAGCACATAGTAGCTGTTAATAAATGCTGAGTGATTGACTATAGGATTTCTTTTTTTACAAAAAGCAAGCTCCACCCTAGGGATTTTTAACACATTATTATATTTATAGAAATATGATTTGCATGCATCTTTTCAGTAACATGTCCAACGTACAACAGTTGGTACACACAAATAAGGTGTAGAGCTGAAGAACAAGACCTTGAGATCCTTTATTGCTAGGAAGTGAGTCGATGAGAAGTCTCCATGGCAGATGCTTGAGGATTGTGCTAAGAGGCTTGTCAGGAAAGTGTTGTTTCCTGGAATCCCAGGATGTCAGGAATAACTGTAACTTATCACATTGAAACCCAAAGGATAAAGATGATCAGGATGAAGTCATTATACCCTTTAATTTTTTTTATGATAAAGAAGTCATTAAGTAGGATTTTTTTCATGGTGGCAATGAATTGGAAATAAAGTGGGTGGCCACTGACTAGAGAATGACTGATCAAACTGTGGTACACCAATGCAATGGACTATTATTGTTCAGTAAGAAACAACAGATGGAAGGAATTCAGAGAAACGTGAAGATTTATTTGAACTGATGCAGAGTTCAATCAGCAAAACCACAAAGAAAATATACACAATTATTATGGCAATGGAAATCTTTTTCTGCCTTTTCCATAAGAATGATGTGTTACTTTATCAATTACTTTGTTAAAATCTGGTTAAGTTATACATACAGAACTGATCTTATCTATTAGTTTAATACTCCTATGAAAAAAGGAAATAAGGTTAGTCTGGCATTACGTGTTTAGAGGAAACCATATTCATTGTAATCATTGTTTCTTTTTTCTAGATCACTAATCATCTCTTTATTGATCTGTTCTAGAACTTTGCCAGAAATCCAAGCCAATCTCACTGATCTATATGACATATATTCTGTTTATTCTCTCCCTTTAATATATATGTATATATATGTACATATGTGTGTATGTGTATATAAACATATGCCTGTCTCCACTCCTGAAAGATCTCTTCCAATTTCCTCAACCTTTCAAATATTATTGACAGTGGCCAGGTAATCACATCTATGAAATATTTGTTCAACTGAATTGAATTCTTACCAAGTCTACTATAACTGATTCCTACCTCTGCTTCCTACCTCCAGCCTGTTTCTTCTCCCAAGCCATCCTCCATACTGCTGGCCCAAATAATCATGATGATCCATTATGATCATGTGACTCATCTGCTCTAAAACATCCAGTGGTTCACCATTGCCTACTGAACAAAATATAAACTCTTGACTCTGACATGGAAGGTTCTCCACAATTTGATTTCTACTTGTCCATTCCCATCTTACATCTTTCAGATCCTAATCTGAGACTGTTGTGTCCCTTTTCCTTCTCCTGCTTATCTATGTTTGGAATGGATTTTGGTCTTCATATCTATAAAATGAAGTCACTGACTTCCTCAAGACCCAACTTAAACTCTACCTCTTCCATGGTCTCTGATTTGATCTACCCACATATTCCTCCTCAGTGAAAATTATTTCTTCCTCCTCCAAGTTCTGAGTGGGTTGCTTGGACCTTTTCATTGCCTTTATGTCACTTCTCCCTTGTACCATAAGTATCTATATATTTGTCCTTCCCCACTACATAATATTGCAAGATTATTGACAGCAAAGTCTATCTTTGTATCCTTAGTACCTAGCAAATACCTTTGCACATAGTAGGCACTTTAAAATGTTTAAATTGTGTGACCCACCTGGCAAAGAGTGAGCCTCTTAAGTCATTCTTACAAAACTTTCAGGCTGAGACAGATGCAGAAAAAGCCAAGTGAAGGGTGATTTTTAAAGAGGGCTTGAACTCAATGTATATGTGTGTGTGTGTGTGTGTGTGTGTGTGTGTGTGACAGACAGATACAGACACACACACACACACACACACACACACACACACACACACACACACACGGGGAAATAGTGGCCTAGGGAAACCAGTGTTCTATCCCTCTCCAGCAACTTGGAGACAACTGAGAGATTTAGCCCATTTATACGTTGTTGAAATGCCCTCTCTACACCATTTCTGGCATAAATGAAGGTAAAGAAGTAATTAAATACACAATTAAGTACAGAAGAAGATCTGGGGATTGTATGAAGGAATCAGTGCTCAGTTGAAACAGCTGGTGAGGACCAAACTTGAGTCGTTTTGAGATAACTTGAGATGGAAAAACCAACAAAAACCCCTCAAATTCTAAAGTTGTCTCCACTAGTTGTGCTTCAAAAGATTGCATTATGACTGGGAAAACCCCAGTAGGTAGACCTTGCTAGCACTTTGTAGGACTGGCTGAGTGGAGGAACTAAAACTCCTGGGTTTTGGCTTGCTTGATGAAAGAGAGTTGGGCTTTAATCTCAGGGGGATAGTGAATATGAAAGAAGATGCTTGCAATAGCTACATTGATGTATTTTTTTCTCTTCACTTCTAGTAGTATGATTAAGGACCTGAATATAGTTATGCACGAGTGAATGACTATCATTTGTAGTAGGAAAGGGACATTAAGAGAAGCATGGGTAGGATATGAGCCATAATCTGATTGGAAAAATCCACACCAAATCCCTAGATTAACAAAATGAATGTTGCCAACCATAAAATGGGAGAAGTTAAAGGCAGAGAGGCAGCCAGCTCTATGGGAGTCAGAGAGAGCTTGGTGGTTATCCCTGAAAGTCCTCTGAAATTGAGTGCTATGAACTACCTACAGCTGGGGAATCACCATTTGATTTAAGGCCTGAGAATAGGCCCAGGCATCATTCCACCATACCCCCTTATTGTGACAACGAAATTAAAAGAAGGAAGAAATGGAAAATAGGAATTGATCCCTACTTTGGATCAACTGTAATAGGATTCCTCCAGAATAATTTAGGAACTGTTAATCACCAAATGAATATTTGTTAGTATTTGGTCAAAAGACATGAAATTCCTGAATTCCTTTACTCTGAGAAAATAACCAGGTGTGTAGAATCTCTTCACTCACCTAGCAATGCAAATGTCTTCTGAGTCTCTACCATGGCTGCTCTGTCATTCACTCCTTCAATGATGATATTCCCTCCCATTCTTGTATAATTAAATTCTTCTGCACTCACTAAAAGAGGAAGGCAACACTTAATACATTCTTGAACTTAGGTTGGTTCAATCATTCAGCCGATATTTTTGCCTGCATTATGTATGCTTGGCACTATGCTAGAAGGTCAATTTCAGCCTCATTAACTCTCTGAGGTCCTGAAAATTATTGCCCAGTCATGAATGCATAATTAGCTATCATCCTGGAAATAGCAGCTTTTGGACACAGATCTCAGAATCTAGAGGTAGGCCAAAAAGGCCTTTTAGAGGGAAGATAATTTTTGTTACAAGAGCTACTCTGATGCATCACAGAGGCAGACTAAAATCTAATCACATACCTATTTAAATATCAGACATATTTATACACATACAAAAACCAGTAAAATGTCAACTCCTTAAAGGCAGAGATTGCTTTTTGTTTTGTCTTTTTAGCCTCAGCACAGTGTCTGGCACACAGCAGGTACTTAATAAATGTTTGTTGAATTGAATTGTGTGTAACATGTTACTGATGATATAATAAGCTTTGGGTTTTTAGACCTCCAGCAACTTTCAGTTCTTCCTAAATTAAAACAGACAGTATTTAAGAAGCATGGGAGTGTGGTGTGGTGGGAGGATTGGAGGGTGGTAGAAGCCAGGTGATAGGGTGGAAGAAAGAATTGTAAAAGCATAACAGGCCATTTTGTATAGTGGCCATCATTCCTACATATCTCAAGTCCCTTGAGTTATATCATAGTATGATATAATCAACGATCAGAATAGTAACCCTGAGTCATCAAGGAAAATTTAAGAAGTCAGGGAACCACGTAACACATTTTAGAAAGACTCAATTCAAAAAAAGCTTTGTTAAAAAAAAGTTTTAATGGTTAAAGGGATAAACTTTAGTTATATGGAATGTCCTACTTCTATAGGACATCTCATAAATAAGGCCTTACTTCTGGGCTCACAGTTGACCAATCTTGAATCCTAACAGGGCCAATCAATAGGCTTGCAGACACTGTCATGGCCCCTCCTTCTCTACCCTGATAGCAATCACCAACCCCAATGCCCCAGAGACTTCAATGTCAACTATACCCATCACCTCTCAAATTCTGGTGATCTTAGGAAATCCAAAAAATGAAAGATAGAGCCTCTTCTTTAAAAAAAAGTTTGGGGAACCCTTGTGTTACTGTCATACCAAGAAAACTGACTTAAAATTTAGAGAATACCCCTCAAATTGTAGAGATACTTCCACCTACTATGACATACCCAATTTAAGGCGTTTAAATTCAGGCTGCAACGCTGAGGCACAAAGCTGATAAAAAATGTGGTAATTGCGTTCATTTTCTGACTGCAGAAAGAAAGGAAAAAAACCCAGAAAACCAGATCAATATTTTACAAGTGAAGAATGTCAGGCATTTGATTCTTAACTAGAGGGTCCTTAAAGTGGATTTTGGCACTCTAGGATCATGGTCAAACATTCATATTTATCTGTGTTTCCCGAGAGCCTTTTCTAAGAGCAATTAAGTTATGAACTATTTGTCTATGTTAAGTCAGTTTCCCAGCAGTACCCCCTTAAAAATGAGTCCTTTCTCCAACAAAGACAGCGACATAACAACTGGACAGTCTGAGATAAAGGACTTCTAAAGGAGAAAGATGTGTTATTTTTAAAGGATAGGATTGTGTGAAACGGGAATAACATGACCTACAGTTGTTGAGACTTGATTGATTTATCACCTTCCCAAACCCGAATATTTTCTCCATTTATGTTGGCTAAAAAACTTGTGTATATATTTGAAAAAAATTACCTCATCCCCAGAGTCACATGAAAATCTCATTCCTAACCTCAGTTTTGTAACAAAAACCATTATGGTGATCATGCCTACTTCAATCAGGTTTTTTTTCCCCCTAACACAATAAAAATCTAATCTTAAAATAATACAGGAATACATAAATGATGAAGCTTTTTAAGGGTCTGTATCCATTGAAATGTCACCCATTTTCCAACTATCCCATGTGGACAATAAAAAAGTTCTGTTACTACAGATAAAACATTGCCAAGCTGTATTCTGCCTGCCAGTGAATGATGCAAGTCTCCCCCTAATCATTAAGTAAATAAGAACAATTGAAAAGAATGAGGGTTAATGGAAGTTCTTTTCCTTACTTGAAAGACAACTCTGGATTTCTCCAAAAGATAAGTTCTCATGTTGGCTCCTATAATTTGATTCCTTTTATCAAAGCTGATTTCAGTATATTTTCCAAACCGACTGCTGTTATCATTTCGGGTGGTCTTGGCATTTCCAACAGCCTACAAAAGACAGTTTTGAGATTAAAAAAAATGTTTTTGGATCAAGATCATTAGTGTGGTTCTTTGTAAAAACACAGACCCTAGACAAAGGGACTAGGCCTAGGGTGGGGAACCCGTAGCCTTCTAGGTCCTTGGGTGCAGCCTTTTGACTGAGTCCAAGTTTTACAGAATAAATACTTTTATTAAGGGGATTTGTTCTATGAAGGTTAGATTCAGTCAAAGGGCCACACTTCCCCACCAATGGACTAGGCTTACCAAACAAAAGGAATTCTGATTGCAAAAGCTAAGGGTGATGAGCACTTTCCCTTGACTCCTGAATAAATTTGAGCTCCTTAGACTGGCATTCATAGCCTTTTGGAACCTGACCCCAACTTACCACTCAAACCTCTATTATACCCATCTATTCCCTTACATAAATCCTACACAGTAGCCAACAGGCTAACCCACATCATTGCCCAAATGCCCCAGGTTTTTCTGCCTATGCACTCCCAATCCAGAACATCCCGTACCTTCCCTTACCCTAATCCTATCCAAATCTCACCTTTTCTGAGAAGGTCTTACTGACTACCCAACTGGAAGCACTTTCCCTCTTCTGAACTCCTGTAAGACTTACTGTCTGTAACAATAATTGGGAAAATTCATTGTATACTACCTTGGGATATCTGTTTTATTAACTTAAACTTATTATTGAGTACAATTGTTACTTAGCCTTGTTCACACAACTTTGATCTAGATAACATTTTACAGAGTATAAAGCACAGTTTGCAAAACACACTCATTTGGTCCTCATAATCATCCTGGGTGGTAGTAAATGTGATTAACATCCTCAAATTATAGATGAGGAGGCTGGGTGAAGAAACTCATAGGGGATGATATGGAATTACACAAATAGTAAGTGCCAGAAGCTGGATTCGAATCCAGGTCTTCGCCCTCCAAGTGCCCAGGGTTCGATCTTCTCTACCTTGCTGTCCCCCAAAACTAACCCAATATTCTTTTCCTTTATTTTGGTTATATCACAGTCACATCTATGGTGGTTGCTTTAAAAGCTTGAGGACCTGGCCATCCCCCTTCCAACCCTTATTGATACTTGCATCTTAATCAGGGATTTTTCAAAGGTGAAAAGCTTTTACTAATGGTGAAATTTTCCAACATCGTGGTACGTATGTGTACAGAAGAGGATAGGGAAATTTGCCACAAGCTCTTCAAATGACATCAGCTAGCCATCTTCCTATTCAGCCTATAGATGAAACTGTACATGCACCCATTTTTCTGACTTTAAAAAAAATAATAACAATGGTAGCGAACATTTATATAGCACTTGCCATGGTCAGGCATTGTGCTAAGTGCTTTACAATTATTATCTCATTTAATCCTCACAATAACTCTGAGAAGTAGGTGCTATTATAACCCTCATTTCACAGACAGAGAAACTGAGGCAAGGCAGAGATTTAGGGTCTTGCTCATGGTTACCTAGTATCTAAGGTCGAATTCGAACTCAGGTATTCCTGACTCCAGACCCAGTGCTCTATCCACTACACCCACCTAGCTTCTTTAGATTTGAGAGTGTAAGAGTTTGGGTTCATACAGAACTGCAACACAAACTTATTTAATTTATTGTGTTCAAATTTCATTGATGATATTCCCAACTTCAGCTCTAGTTAAGAATCAAATCCCTGACATTATTCATTTGTAAAGTATTGATGTTGGCTTTCTGGTCTTTTTCATTCTTTCTGTAGTCAGAGAACGAACAGAATTATTCCATTTTCTACATTACAGCCTGAATTTAATCATCTTAAGTTGGGTAAATCAAAGTAGAAGGAAGGATCTTCCCAATTTCCAAAGATATTCTTCAGCTTCTAAGTTAATACCATTGTCATGACAATAAGAGAGAGGCCCTGTATGTTTTTATTTTCAAGAGGAGGATCTGTATCTACTTTTCATGTTCCCGATTCTTAAGATCTCCAGAATTTGAGGAAGGCAAGGCTTGGACATTGAAGTCACTGAGGCAATGGGGAAGTGGGAATGGGGTTGGTGATGACTGTCACTGTACGGCTGGACGGGGCACAGTATTGTCTCATAACCCACTGATTGTCCAGGCTGGGATGAGACTAGGATTGTTATCAACCTCATCCATAATGAACCAATTTTTTCCTGGTACCCATAATTGCTTACCTCAGTTATGGGATTAGAGGCCAGAACTTTATCTTCCACATGGGCATTACTGCTTGATTTGCTGACTGTAGCAAAGTATCTCATAGCATATCGGGCTGACACTGTCTTTCCAGCCCCTGATTCTCCACTCACAATTATTGACTGATTCTTGTTGTTTCTAGAGTAAAATGATGAAAGAACAGTATTATTTTAGCACAACCTGCTTTCAGACATAGTTGCTGGGTAACAACAACATTCCTGGCATATTAACAAACTGCTTTGGAAAGGGAATCAAATTTTTCAGGCCATTAGAAGCCTGCATTGAAGCCTTAGTAATACTGTCCTTGGGTGTCTTGAGGACCACTCTCCTCTCTATATACTATTTCACTTGGTGATCTTATCAGCTCCCATGGATTAAACTGTTTTTTTCTATGCAGATGATTCTCAGATTTATTTATCCAACCTGAACCTCACTTTCGACCTTATCTAGCATCTCCAACTGCCTATTAGAGATTTTGAATTAGTTCTGTCATAGACATCTTAGACTCAACATGTCCAAAAATGACATTTACCCCCAAATGCTCCCTTTTTGTGAACTTCTCCATTTCAGCTGATGGCACAGCCAATGTGTGAATCTGTTTTTATTGACTAGAATGATTTGTTACAAGGAAGGGCTTCTATTTAGTGTGGGCCAGGAAGGGAGTTGGAGGGTAGTGATAACAATGAAGGAAGGAAAGAAGGAAGGAAGGAAGGAAGGAAGGAAGGAAGGAAGGAAGGAAGAAGGAAGGAAGAAGAAGGAAGGAAGGAAGGAAGGAAGGAAGGAAGGAAGGAAGGAAGGAAGGAAGGAAGGAAGGAAGGAAGGAAGGAAGGAAGGAAGGAAGGATGGATGGATGGATAAACAGTATCAACAAAACATTAAAAAAATTTTGGTTTTTGTTCAGTCGTTTCAGTGACCCCATCTGGGGTTTTCTTGGAAGAGATATTGGAGTGGTTTGCCATGTCCTTCTCTACCTCATTTTACAGATGAGGAAACTGAGGCAAACAGGGTTAAATGACCTGTCCAGGGCCACACAGCTAGATGAGTCTTCTTCCTAACTTCAGGCCAGGTGCTCTATCCACTATGCCACCTAGAAGACCTGAGTTCAAATCCAGTCTCAGACACTTACTAGCTGTGTGGGCAAGTCACTTAATCCTGTTTGCTTCAATTTCCTCATCTGTAAAATGAGCTGGAGAAGGAAATGATAAACCACTCCAGTGTCTCTGCCAAGAAAACCCCAAATGGGGTCACGAAAAGTCAGACACGACTGAACAGTAACGATACTATTATTATCATTGTTATCATTATTATATTCTGGTATGTTTGTTGGCAAATCCCAGTCCTGTATCCACTGGCAATGTGACATAGGATTATTATGCTTTACTGTTCATTTCTGTGTGGAAGACATAGATGTCCAATGTTTCTAAATTAAAAAGAAATGTTTTAAAATATGAGAAAAACACAAGTATCCTTTACCCAAATCCAATGTTGTTCTATTTCTAGACCCTGGTAGCTATGAGGAAACAAGATTCCTCTTAAACACCTTGCCAATGGAAAGTCACCATATAATACTCTGATTAGACTCAGTGTATAACTATGGTTTTCTGTTTGGTGGTTTTTAAATTAATGAAATACGTACATTCATGTGGAACAAAACTGCCTCCTCAAATTTTCTAGAAGAAAAAACTAAGCCACTTACAAAAGGAAACTACATTAGAAAAGCCAGGAAGCTTGGTCTGTATCAGCCAGCTTTTATCAAGGTACTCATTTACCTTTCTTGACATGAACAAATCTTAGTCTTGGAGATACTTTTCTTGGGGGAGGATTTGGGGGGCCAGGGCTTTCCAAAGGTTTCTGAGACAGGAATGTTTGTGAATAACTAGAGAGACTCTTGTTTGGTTAGGAATCTCAGGGTGTTCTCTACACCTGGGCTGGTAACAGAGACAATGTGGTGTAGTGAGAAGAGGACTAGACTAATTAAACACTGAGAGACCTAAAAGAGGCTCAGCTAACCATTGTGTGACTTTGGTTGTTACTTCAACTCTTTGGGTCTCGGTTTACTGTCTGCAAAATAAGCACGTCAAACTACATTAGGGGTTCTTAATCTGGGGTCCATTAACTTGAAAAAAAATTTTTTGATGAACGTATTTCAATATAATTTAGCTTGTTTTGCAATCCTACAAATTTAATTGCATGCATTTAAAAGCCTTCTTCCAAGAAGATATCCACGGGCTTTACCAGACTGCAAAGGAGTCCATGACACAAAAAAGGCTAAGAATCCTTGGACTACACAGTCTCTAAGATCCCTTCTCACTCCAATGCTCCATTATACTACAAACCTAGATGTCCTCTTAGCTAAGGTGACCTTCAAGTTATGACCTTAAAAATTAATAAGGTATGCATGCCACCTTGGAGTGGGGGGAGGGGAAAGATGGGGAAAAATTTGGAACTCAAAATCTTATGGAAGTGAATGTTGAAAACTAAAAATAAAGAAAGAAATTAAATTAAATTTAAAAAATCAATAAGGCAATACTATGTGCTAACATGGTGCTTAGCACCTAGTAAGCATACCTGTTAACTGATTGATAAGAATGCCCTCAAAACCCTTCAGGTTTTTGGTCACTCTCCCCTCCCAGATAAGTCTTTGACTTTTTGCCATTGCACACTCCACTGGCCTGTACCCAGGTACACAATGGCAGAACCTGCCAGATAAATGAAATACTCTGATTTTTTAAAAATGACAAAAAAGCATATTCAATATTAGTGAAATAGAAAATTTTTATTTGTGCTGGGTTTTTTGATTAATGATTAATATTTTAATAAATTTAAGGTATGATAGTCATTATACATGAGAGCAAAATGTTGAGAAAGGGAGGAGAAAGAAAATTGTGGGGCACAAGGAAATAGGAAGGGAAATGAGAAAAGGAATAAAAAAAAACCAACTCCATAGGAATCCACTTAGGAAACCTGGCTAAGTGATCCAGAATACCAACAAACAGCTTGTTCCAAAGCAGATCATAACTGTATGGTTGGACGTGGGCATTCTGATAGTATGTTCAAAACTAGCATGCCCTAAAAATGCCACCATGTGGCTAGGCATTCTAAAAATTTGCCAGGCTTGCTCTTTAGACAGACAATACAAAATTTCTCTCCAGAAACTGTGAGTAGTGTGGGAAGAATAGCGAGAGTCAGGACAAATTACAGGAAATGCAAAGTTTAGAGAGAAGATACCTGGCCATTTGTTTATATGCTTCTTCTGCTACAGCAAATATATGTGGATCCATATCTCCCATGTTCTGCCCACTATAAGCATGGATGATAGCATTTCCATAGATGGGCAACTCTTTGTAAGGGTTCATGGCAACCAAAATAATGCCTAAAGAAAGAAATTCAAGATGTATATGAGTCTCAGAACAATGTTAAAATGAGGGGAATACAGTGATAAGGGATTATAGGGGCATAGATATATCATGCTAGGTCAAATCAACAAGTATTGAGCAAGCCAGGCGTTATGCTAAGCACTAGGGACACAAAATAAGTCTTGCCCTCAAGCAGTTCACAATCTAATGAGAAAGATAACATACAAGGCACGATGCCAACATCTTTAACATGCCAGATCTTTGAAGCACTGTGGGCTATACACCAGGAACTCAGACCAATACTAGAGATAGTTTGGAGGCAAACATAGGCTCATTCACCAAACTGTCCTACAAAGCCATAATCTCCAAAACATTTGTTACTGGTTTAGAAAGAGAGATAGACGAGTGGAACAGATTAGGTACACAATATACCAAAGTGAACTAACCTAGTAGTCTAGTGTTTGCTAAACACAAAGAACCTAGCTGTAATTTTGAAATAAAATGAACAATTTTGAAAGATGTAAGAAATCTGACCAATGCAACAATCAATTGTGACTCCAGAGAAAGGAACATTTGTAGGCAGATGTTGTTAGAAACACTAATGAATCCAGAAATACAATGCCTAAACACCAAATAAAGTTTTATTAACCCCTGTGTTTATCCTTATTTAGCCTACTGATGGCTTAATATTCAAAGGTAGCTGTAGTCATTTCTCCATAAACTGCTAAGGTGCACCCCCTAACCTTATAAAGGGCACCATTTTATTTTGTCCTTCTAGATATGAAACAGTACTTCCCTTAATTATCCAGGGCCACTCAGAATTTCAGCTTGTCACAAAGACGACAATAGATGGAAATAGTTAATGTTGGACAAGCTGTGGGAAGACTGGGACACTAATACACTTTCAGTGACCTGTGAATTGGTCTACCCATTCGGGAAAGCACTTTAGAATTACACTTTTTAAAAAAGTGACTAAGACGTCCATTCCACTTGGTCCAGAGAGTCTAGCAAGGCATACCCCAAGGAGGGCAAAGACAGAAAGGTCCCATATACTGCAAAATATTCAAAGCAATACTTTTTGTGGTAGCAAAAACCTGAAAATAAATTAGATGCCTGTCATTTGGGGGAATGGCTAAATAAATTGTGGCATGTAGATGTCATGGAATATTACTGTACTTTAAGAAATGCTGAATATAAAAAATTCATAAAAGCAAAGGAAGACTTATATGAACTCATGCAGAGTGAAGTAAACAGAAAGAGGAAAACAATATAGACAATGAAAATGGAAATGAATGAAACGAATAAATGAAAAAATGAAACTGGACTCTGTATAATTATAGTGATCAAAATTGTCCCGGGAAAAGAGAGGAGAAAATGCACCTCCCTCCCTCTATTGTTTGCAGGGATGAGAGTCTACTTGTCAAATGTAGCCTACGCTATCAGAACTGGTTGATGTGTTGCTTTGTTTTACTAAATTTCTTCATCCTTTCCCTTTCTCTTGTATACTTTGTCAGAAAGGATAGCTTTCTGTGTAGGAGAGTGTAGGAGGTAATGTGAAAACCAAACATACCAATAAAAATAAAAAGATATTCTGATCATGCTACAGTCAGCAATTACTATATTTTTATTTATATTTAACTTTTTATTTATAAATATCTTTTTACTTACCACTGTAGGTATAAATAAGTTTGGATTCAGCAAAACGTATCTTGAGATTGTGGAGGACGGCAGGTTCATGAAGATAACTAAGTGCTGTAAGGTCATTCTCTCCTACAAGTATATCAGGATTTCGTAATGGTGGAAGAGTTTCTGGATCAACAGAATAATCTTGTTCCTAACAATAAAGGCAAAAAAAATTTTAATGACAATGTTCTGGAGTTCCTGTCTGAAACATTATCCTTCAGGCTCAAAGATGCTATTCTTGATAGTGAATCTGAAGAGACTAGAACACCAAGGAACAGTGCAGTTATCCCTCCGCATCTTTCTCTTTTATGGGGTGTTTACAGTACCTGATTGTAAAATTTGGATTGATATAATAATAATACTACACATATATTTTATGCATTTCTGAGTTTCTAAACATTTTGCATGTCATCCGCTGGCCTTCACGTGTCATCTACAACTTCCACAAAACTCCCCGAAAATCCCCATTTAATTTCTTAAGCTGACACGTGGTATATCAAAACCACTACAGGGAAAGTTGTGATGTGGAAGGGATGACTGTACATCATAGGTATAAAGACTATGAAATGCTTTGCACCTAAAGAAGCTTCTTGGTTTATTTCTCTCCAGACTTTGCCCTTTCAGATCATGGTCAAGCTTGAAACTTTTGCTCAGAAAGATTATACCAAGTTGGCTGTTTTCTCCATAATTCTTAAACTATGCTCCAATGCATGAAATGATGCTGACTAAGCATGTTGAAGGCAGAGACTTAATACTTCTATGGGGTTCTCTAATCTTTTTATCTCCCTACATACTTAGGTCATCACTTAACCCTTTTGCCTCAGTTTCCTCATCTGTAAAAATGAGCTGGAGAAGGAAATGGCAAACCACTCCAGTATCTTTGCCAAGAAATCCCCAAATTGGGTCACGAAAAGTTGGACACAACTGAAAATGACCTAACAACAACAATGCACACTTAGAATAGTACTTGTCATGTTTTGGGGGTTTTTTTGTGGTTGTTTTAAACTGGCTCTTCCTATCTCTCTCAGGCTAGAAGTATCATGTTTACTCATGGACCCCCCTTCCCACTAGTGGTTAGAACTGCAGCTTTGATCTGATCCTGTTTCTGATGATGACGGTTTCTCTCCTGCATAGACGGTCTGGTAGCTCCCCCATCTGAGGGCTCACCATTTTGATGCTGAACTTAGTCAACATCAGCTTATTACAACATAAGTTCAGAACTCCAGAACTCAAGCAACCCACCATCCTCAACCTTCCCAGAAAAAAAAGATCACAGGCATGTACCACCAAACCTGGTGGCATGGTCATGGTAAGCAGTTAGCCACTACTTATTGGTTAATTGATCAATTTGTCCTTAACACTTTTTTTCATTCATACAATTTGTGCTCCATAAAGTCTAGTAGTGTTTTTATACTGAGCGTCACTCCAACATTAGTAAACTGGTGGAATGAATCAAAGAAAAAATTGATATGTACTCAATACACAGGTAACAGACAGTTTTGCAATATGTTTGCTTTGAAACTACAAATTTGTTCCAATATGATTGTTGTTGTTTGGTTCAGTTGTGCCCTCCTCTTCATGACTCCATTTGGGGTTTTCTTGACAGAGAAGCACTAAAGTGCTTTGCCATTTCCTTCTCCAGCTCATTTTGCTGATAAGGAAACTGAGGCAAGCAGGGCTAAAGTGACTTGCCCTGGGTCACACAGCTAGTTAGTGTCTGAGTCCAGATTTTAACTCAGGAAGATGAGTCTTCCTGACTCCAGGTCCAGCACTCTATCCATTGTACCACCCAGCTGCCCCTAACATGATATATTAGGAAACAATCTAAACATAACCCAAAGGTCATGAATGTCATGATCGCTCATGCTCAAACTCACCCTTGAGAAACACAGAGAATGCAGAAAAACCATACTACTTTACAATCACTCACCAACTGCAACCCACTTCTACAGACAAACTTCGGGTTTTTTTCGAGGTAAAGCATCATATTTATTATATATCTTCTGGTATAGCAAGAGCTGGGAGCAGAGGAAGGCTGGTCTGTATCTGTAATCTCCATCCACCCCTCCCACCAACCACCAACCAAGCAGCAGCCCAAGACCTTGGACACCACCACTATTTATTAGACTATCACTCAGCATGTATAAAACTCTGATAATATTTTTCACTGGGCTCCTATGTCTTTTTATGCATCACTGACAAAATTTTTGACAGTTATGTCCTTAACCCTATTTTCTCATAAGTCCTGTGGGTTTTAAACTTAATTTTAATGATTTTGCATAGCAGATGCTTTTTAAGAACGCATATATTGATGTATAGTAGAACTGACTGTATGCATATATATACGCACATATACACATATGTATACATATGTGTACATGTGTGTATGCTCACATAGGTATACACACATATGCGTGTGTATATTTTTTCTTTAATTTAGTTAACCAACATTTATTAAGCCCCTACCATACATGGAGCACCAAACTAGGTTGTGGTAGAGACAAAGTTTAAGCCCTAATCCCTACACCATAGATGAGGAATATTGCATATGCTTGTCAGACACAGCCATAGTGTTGGTTAGTTTGGATAAGGTGGGTTTTTTTCCCTTTTCATTTTAAAAAAATCTTTGTTTAAGAGATGGCTTGTAAGGTAGGGGTAAGAGAAGGATATATTAAAAATTAATATAAAATATAAAAATGAATATAAAAATAAAAGGCATAAGTCAAAATAAGAGAAAATATTTCAAAAGGATATAACCCCTGCTTTACAGTCTAATGGGGGTGATGGTAAAGAGTAAGCTTAATTTAGAAAGCCCATAGTAGGCTCCACTCTGACCAAAGATTTGGGGACACAGGTTGAGTTAGACAAATGGTTGCCTCTCTATCATTCCTTATATTTTTCATCCTGACAATACAGACTTCTAGGCTGAATCTGTTCTGATAACCAGTTTTCATATTTGTCAAGTTCCTGGATGCCCAATCATCCTAATTTTTCCCTCAAGTGTCCCTCCCCCTCACCTTCCTCTGCCACAAGACGGTAACTGGCCTTCACCATTCCCAGGAGTTTACCTAAAATCACTCTCACCTGTGCCCATCCTGCCACATCTCTGCTGGGATTGGTAAATCATTACCTATAGGGAATGTTCAAGGAAGGCTTAATGGAGGATATGACACCTGAGTTGTGCTTTAAATCTAAGTAAAGAATTGGCAATAAGGAAAAGGAGGAAGTTTAGGACTATGAATAGCATGAGCAAAGGTACAAAACCAAAAAAATGCAGGGCATATGGATCACAGATAAGGAAACTCAGTCTTTGACAGACTAAGGAACCTTGCCCAGGTCACAGAGGTAAGAAGCACAGCCAAGACTCAAAGCCATGTCCTCTGCCTCTGAATCCATTTCTTTTACCTTTATACCGTAGTTGGAGATATTTGTGGTAGTTCCAACTCGTAGTCATATAAAAGGGTTTTATGTTGTTGTTGTTCAGTCGCGTCTGATTTTTTGTGACCCCATTTGGGGTTCTCTTAGCAAAGATGCTGGAATGATTTGCCATTTCCTTCTCCATTTCATTTTATGGATGAGGAAACTGAGACAAACAGGGTTAAGTGACTTGCCCAGGGTTACACAGCTAGTTAGTATCTGAGGTCAGATTTAAACTCATGAAGATGAGTGTTCCTGACTCTAAGCCAGGCATTCTATCCACTGTGCCATGTGGTTGCCCTATGAAAGCTTAGGTATTACTAACCTCCAGTCTATTAACAGGATCTTAGATCTAGAGTCCAATCCAAGGTTGATAGAGAACAAGAACAGGAAACGGAAGGGAAGGGAAGGGAAGGGAAGGGAAGGGAAGGGAAGGGAAGGGAAGGGAAGGGAAGGGAAGGGAAGGGAAGGGAAGGGAAGGGAAGGGAAGGAAGGGAAGGGAAGGGAAGGAAGGGAAGGGAAGGAGGGAAGGGAAGGGAAGGGAAGGGAAGGGAAGGGAAGGGAAGGGAAGGGAAGGGAAGGGAAGGGAAGGGAAGGGAAGGGAACGAGCATTTTTTAAGCACTTACTATTTGCCAGGCACTGTGCTAATGCTTTACAAATATTATCTCATGTGATTCTCACAACAACCCTGCGAGGCTGGTGCTATCATTATCCTCATTTTACAGCTGAGCAGACAGAGGTTAAGTGACTTGCCCAGAGTCACATGACTGGGAAATATCTGAAGTTGGGTTGGAACCCAAGTGTTTTGTGATTCCAAGCCCAGAACTCTATCCACTAGCAGGCAGGTGGATGTGAGTGTCAGTCAGCAGTTGCTTACTCACCTATACACCATCAGCTGCCCTCCTTTACAGTAGGATTACCTTTTTCCAAGCCTGTTTCTTTCTTTTCTTTTCTTTTTTTGAGTGAGGCAATCAGGGTTAAGTGACTTGCCCAAGGTCACAAAGCTAGTAAGTATCAAGTGTCTGAGGCCGGATTTGAACTCAGGTCCTCCTGACTTCAGGGCCAGTGCTCTATCCACAGCATCCTAGCTGCCCCTTGCCCTCCAAGCCTGTTTTTCAAGGAGGATGCTCTATAGATGAGGTCCTGACACTGACTCTGGAAAGTTACCCATCAAAATGACATGTTTTCAGCATGTACTTTGGCACAGCATCTCAGGTGTGTTTTTTCAAGGCATTTTAACAATGTTCATATATATTGAGAAGAAAGAGACTCCAAAAGCCTGGGAAGTGACTCATGATACCAGCTTCCAGCTCCTTTGTTAAGCCTCTAGTGGGGCTATGTAAGACTAGGCTGCCTATCAATGCTGCCATATTTATCTTTGTTCCTTTTCTCTTTCCTTTTCCCTAACATATATCCCTGTCCCTGACAGAGAAATTCTGAGAAAATTATATAGTTCCCTATACCTACCTCCTCCCAACATAGTCACTCCACCCCTTACACACTTACACATTTACACACACACTTTGAAATAGCAACTACCATCCCTGGTGGAAGGACCTAAGAGGTTTTATGAATCTTATTTAAGCTTCACAGTTCGAGGTGCATGCAACACTTTGCGTAGAGTGGGCTTTCTTCTTGACAATGTAGAAAAAGGGTTAAATGAAGGAAGCAGCTTTGCTGCTTGCTATTGGCTGAGGAGGAAGGGAAGACCTCCCCAGCTACTTCTTTTCCATCTGCCTTCTTCTCACCACCCCTGAGCTATGGTGCCAGGGAACCCCTTACCTGCAAATAGGTCAAAAGACCCTTCAGTTGTTATATAGAGCTACAGTGACTATCTAGTTCTTCTAAACCAAGGAACAATACTTAACCCCACAATGAAAAACAGCAAAGTACATAGCAGGGGCTCACAAAAAAGTTTCATTGGATGTATGGATGTGTTAACAGTTCTTCTCTGAAAGTTATATTTTTTAGGTAAGGAAGACAGGAAGTTTTTGGAGGATCAGTCCTGGAGGACAAAATTTTCATCTAGAGATGCCAGTTTAAAATTAAAAAGCTCTTGATAGAAAACACACAGAGAAGAGTGAGAGGTAAAGCTTCCTTTCAGCTACATGGAACAGCAGCATGGTGGCAACATCAATGGGGGTACCATCAACAACTTTCCTCAAACCCATGTCTCTAGAGAGATTAGAGAAGTGAAAGCTAACGGGGCAAGTGGCAAGGTATAAAACTGTTTGTTTATTTTTTTTATTTTCTTTAACTGGAGACATTATCATAAGCATTCACTTTTCATGACTACACTCCCAAGGACAGAATTACAACAAACCTGAGGATTCCAACCTACCCCATTCAACCATGGCACTATGGAGGGAAGAGGAAGGTGAAAGCGCAAGGGAAGGAGAGGTATGGGGAGAAGGTGGGGAAATTCTTTCTTGCACTAGCTTTTAAAATGCACCTTATTCTGTCTCTCTAGTTAAAAAAATGCTCTGGAATTTGATTAAGGCTTTTTCAACCTTTGGTGATGATGTGGGTAGACCAGGATATGTATCATGGATGTTTACTCAATTCTCCTTATTTTAGGATTGGGCATAATAAGTGCAAGGGAGCGGGGAGTAAGCAGTTAATACAATAATTCACTACCTTGGGGATAGAGTCATAAATCATGCTGACACAACTGGAGAGATTATCAAGGAATAAGTTTTATTTATTGTGGGTAAGAAGATTAATACTTTTGTGGGTAGCTAAATGTAAGGCCTCTGGCCCAAATGCAATGATCCTTAGAAGTGTGAGAAATAAAGGATCCAGAAAAATTTAGATAGACTTTTCACTGCTATAGATGACCTCATTTAAACATCATATTTGTTATGCCATGAATAATGACTGCTAGAGCTAAAGATCTTTGTATTTGCTTGAAATATCCACACTGCCCTGAGACACTGGGCCTCTCTTTCAATAAGGAGGTTCCAAATTGACATGCTCTTGATCAGTCTCAAATCTGGCGTCTCCTTTGCATTGTTTTTACCTTTCCCCCCATCACACCCTTCATCATTCAAATTCTCAATTTTTTCCACACTTAGATACATTCTTATAGTTCCATTTATTCTCTTTTTCTCTTCTTTTTTCTTGTCATTTATTTTATCCTCATCTCCTATTACCATGTCTCTCCTATATTTCTATTCTTCCTATTTCAGTATTACCTTTCTACTCACCAGTCTCTTTTCCTTTCCTTAAATTTCTGATATTTCCTTAAAGTTTCTTTTTCATCAGCCTATGAACTGAGGGCTGACAATATTATACCCATTTAACCAAATTATATGCTCATTTTAAGTGTCTTCCAGACATCTTTGAATGTCCAAGAACTGGCTAATGGAGGAAATAAGGATAATCTGCAGTAATTATAATCCCATTACTCATGGCCTCTGGCTTACTTGATAAAGGACAAATAATGCTCCTCAGACTACCCAGAAGGAGATTGAGTATTACTGATGATACTGTTTCCATCCATGTTTTTGATAGTAGTGTCAGGGCCCACTGACCTGTCCTGCCACCTTTCCCGTGAGTGAGAGTCGCTCACAACATCTGGTTCAGGATCCTTCTTCCCACCTGTCTCCCCAATTATTTCTCTGTTCTTAATGAAAGACACACAAGGAATACTTACAGATCCATCTTCTAGTATAATATGAAGAACTTTATCTCCAACTTTATAGTCCTTTGCTATTTCTGCTGATTTCCAAACTTCTTCAGCATCAGGTATCCAAACCCTATTGTACTGAACCAAGAGAACGAGGTAAGGCTTAATTACAGTACTTTGTAAATGAAAAGACAGGTTGTAAAAAGAGAAGAGAGAAAGATTTCTTTTCCTACCAGGTCAGATTCTTTGCTGGGAACACATTCAACCAACTTTTCACAAAATCACAGGCCTAGACTGTTTTATCATTCCTTTTCACCCAGAACACTATTTCTAGAATCTTCCCAGTTCAACCAAAGGAAACAGAGTCTGGTAGAATATTAGTGATCTCTCTCTCTCCTCACCACCATTCTCTTTCTCTCTCTGTATTTCTCTCTTTACACAATCACACACACACAATTCTAATTGGCTATACATTTTTTCCCTCTCACATCAGTCGAAGCACTTTCTCTTTGCCATTTCCATCCAATGCTCCTTACTCTGCCCTCAGGGGCCAAGCAGGACCACTGTGTAATTCCCTCCTTCCCCAAAGCATATCTTCAAATATTAGAAGATAACTTGCTTTTCTTCTTCATACCTATGGCATCACATTACCATTGTGGTCGACTTCCTTGGAGTTGTTCCAGGTGTTCAATGCCCTTCCTAAAATGTGATACCTAGACAGAACACAATATTCCAGATGCTGTCTGATCAGACCCAAGTATACCTAGTGTATAATTGAACTGAATTTTTATCCTTAACCAAAACTGCTCTTTCAAAGGTAACCAACTATCTCCCATTTTCTAAATCCAATGGCTATTTCTCAGGTCTTATCTTTCTATAGCCCACTGGTTTCCCTTTTACTTGTATGATTACTTCTTATGAATCATATGAATCATAATTCTTATGAATTTCTGGTTCATTGTTGGCATCATGCCCCCTAACTGGAGGTATATCCTAAGGCTCTCCTGAGCCCTCTTTTTTTCTACCCTCTTCATGGGGTGACTTCATTAGGTCTCTAATGCTCTCAACCTTCTGAGAGAACTGGTAAGAATCCAAGTGCAAACTGAAGTATATTTTTCTCACTTTCTTTAAAAAAAGGGGGGGGTATGTGTGTTAATTAACATCTGAAGACAAGGAACTCCAAGATCTATACATCTAGTCTTAGTCTCTTTCCTGAGCTCTGGTTTCTAGTTCTACATCACCAACTGATAAATTAGTTACCCTTGCAACATCACTAACTTGCCATGTCCAAAACAAAACTTGTCATCTTCTTCCAAATTCATTCTCCTTTCAAATGTTTCTATTTCTGTTCAAGGCACCACCATCCTTCTAGTCTCCCAGGTTTGTATCCTGGATATTACCCTTGAATCCTTTCTTTCCTTCATGCCACATATCTAATCAGTTACCAAATCTTTCTGTTTCTCCCTCTATAACATCTCTTGCATGATCCCCTCATCGTTTCTCACATGGCCACCACATTAGTTTAGGTCCTCAATACCTCTCACCTGGACTATAGACTCCTAATGGGATTTCCATTTTCTAGTCTCACCCTTCTCTAATTCATCCTCTGCAAAGTTGTTCAATAAATTTCCTAAAATAATAAATGTTGGAGAAGAAGTGGGAAAATTGGGACACTAATACACTGTTGGAGTTGTGAACTGATCCAACCACTCTGGAGAGCAATTTGGAACTATGTCCAAAGGCAACCAAAGTGTGCATATCCTTTGATCCAACAAGACCACAACTACATCTGTATCCCAAAGAGATCATTAAAAATATTTGTAGCAGCCCTTTTCATGGTGACAAAATATTGGAAATTGAGGGGATGCCCATCAATTGGGGAATGGCTGAACAAGCTGTGGTATATGAATGCAATGGAATTCTGTTGTGCAATAAGAAGTGATGGAACAGGCAGATTTCAGAAAAACCTGGAAAAACTTGTACAAACTGATGCAAAGTGAAATGATCAGAACCAGGAAAACACTATACACAGTATCAGCAACATTGTGTGATGATCAACTATGAATGACTCAGCTCTTCTCAGCAACACAATGATCCAAGACAAGTACAAAGGACTCACAAAGGAAAATGCTACCCACATCCACATGATGGACCCTGAATGCAGATGGAATCACACTTTTTTCACTTTTTATTCTCTTTTCTGTTTTTTTTCTTTTGATATGTTTCTTCTTTCACAATTGTGACTAACATAGAAATATGTTTTACATGATAGCACATGTATAACCTATATCAGATCACCTACCATTTTAGGAAGAGGGGAGGGGAGAGAAGGATAAAAATTCAGAACTCAAAATCTTGTAAAAATGAGTGCTAAAAATTGTCTTGACATGTAATTGGGAAAAAATACTATTAAGTGTAAAAAAAGTTTTTAAGGTAAACAAAGTAAAAAAGTAAAATTAATTTCCTAAAACACATGGCCTAATGGGATTTCCAATTTCCAGTGTCACCCTTCTCCAATCCATCCTCTGAAAAGTTTTCCTAAAGCACAAATCTGACCATTTACCTCCTTTATTCAAGAAGCTGCAGTGGTTCCCTACTGCCCTAGGATAAAATATAAACTCTTTACTTTGGCATTTAAAGATCCTTCACAATCTGACTCCAGCCTATGTTTCTAGGATTACTTGATACCACTCTCCTTCATGAACATTTCTAGCCAAACTGGTCTGTTTGCTGTTCCCTGAACTCAGCGTTCCTTCTAACACAATGCCTTTGTACCAGCTATCCCTCAGGCGTGGAATTCACTGCCTCTTAACTCCTAACTTCTTAGCATCCCTAGCCTTCTTCCTTCAAGTTTCAGCTCATGTGCAAGCTCTAACTGGAATCCTTTCCTGATTGCCTTAGTATTAAGTCCTCTTTCCTTTCCCAAATTATCATGCATATTTTTATTTGTTTACATACTTCATCCCTCCCAGTGGAATAAAACCTCCTTGAAAGAAGGAATTGTTTTTCATTTTGTCTTCTTATCCTCAGTGGTTACCCAATGCTTTACATCTAGTAGAAAGATAAGGTATGGGATATTGAGGTCTTCTGAGCTGAACTGCCATGTAGCCAAATGCCAAACATATGTTTACCTAAAATACTATTTTATGGAGAACTCACAAAAGGCAAGTGCTCATATGGAGTTCAGAAGAAGTGGTACGAAGACCTCTCAAAGTCTCTCTGAAGAACTTCAGTATTGATTGTGAGCCATGGGAGATGTTGGCTTAAGCCCATATTAGAGAAGGGGCTGTGCTTTATGAGCTAAGCAGACTCACAGTAGTACAAAGGAAACATGGGATGTGCAAATTTAGAGACATCTCCATCCCTAATGTTCAAATGGACTATTTGTGTCTAACCTGTGGTACAGCCTCCCAAGCTCATATTGTACTTATCAGCCACAGTCAAACACACCGTACCTTGACCCCAACATCAAGTCATTGGTCCTCTTTGAGTATGAAGGGTGAACAACAACAAATGCTTGTTAGATTGGGTTGGAAATTATTGTTGAAATGCAAAGTGGGAAAGAGGACTAAGCACTGCAAATGAAGTAATCCTTCAGGTACTTACCTCCTCCTGCCAGTGCTAAACATCATTCCCCCACCCCCAATCAATCAGTGGGAGCAGAGAATTCTGTCCTAGCAAGCAGCAGTCCTCACTATCATTACTGATCCTTGCTAACAAAATTGAATCTGCTACCAAATAAGACCTTCTCTGTCCCTTTTAATTCCCCCTCCCAATTCAATAAAACAATCAATAATCAACAAGCATGTATGAAGTACCTACTAAGTTCAAGGCACTGTGCTAGGTTCTGGAAATTCAAAAAAAAAATGAAGGTACTAGCTGCTTTTGAGGAGCAGGGGAAAGAATACATATGTATAGGTGTATCAGGGTTAAACAGGGTTTGGACTTGACCATACTCACTTGTAGATCACCCCTCAGTCTACTATTGGACTCATTT